ATTATATGTGACTGGTTAAACCAACACTGGGAGGGAAGCCTTGATGAACTCAATAAACCCAAGTTGCCATTGATGAGATTGGTGGTATCGGGTGGTGGTGGTGGTGTGGGCAACCAAAAGAGTGATCATTCATGTCCTTCATTCACGATGAGGCGAGTATTCAAAGGTGATGAGAAGGAAGGAACCCCTACATCCTCAAACACACCACCATTGTTGAGACCTAATACAGAGTTGCCTGTTGGTCCAAGCTGTTCTGCCACAGATCAACATGCACAGGGAATCCCGACTCCTGAAATTTTTGAGTCACCAAAGGTCCAAACGCATCAGCTCTTGGACATCAATTTTCCATCAAAGGTATGTTTGGATACAGGAAATGCTCGAAAAAAGCTTTGGAAAGTTATTATTTTCTTATTTTTTGTTTTACCTGAAAAAATGCATTAGGGAAAATAGACATAAATAAATAATAGGCATAAATAAACAGATCGAGTATCAACAGTTATCTAAAATAACTTAGTTGATTCTTTAGTCCCAGAGCCCATTTGGTACAGGTATTTTGTTGAATCTGCTGAACTTTAAAAAAGAATAAGCTTTTGGTAAATTAGATTTCAACCAATGAGTAAGGCAAACACTATTTATTCTGCTTATTAATAATCCAATATATTTTTATTTTTTTTATTTACCACACACATTTTCTTCCATATTAATTTTCCTTCATGTCACTTTATCAGTATTCTCCAGGTCCTAAACGGGCCCCAAAGGTTTCAAAAATAACTGCTGCCTTTCCACAATCTGCAAGAAAAAAACCTTCTCACTACTATGAAGAAGTTTGTGGAGAAAAGTCCAGTGATGGCCCAGAAGCTGAAATAGCTTCAACTGGATCCATAAATGGGCCACAAAGTGAGGTACAAAGTTCATCTCCGGTTGAGGCATCAGATATGCAGCAACAACAACACGAAGATTACTACAGCAGCGAGGGAGAGACAACGACAATGTACTCAGCAGAAACCGCAGAAAGCCGTAATATTCCAAGAAGTAGTGATCCTCCTGCCAGACGAGGAGGGAAGGAGGTGGGGAGGAGCCAGAGTTGCATGAGTTACACCAACAGATGGGGGGCAGCTATGGTCCCAACAGCACATAGGACAACATCAACTCCCTCGGAGAAGGGCAGGAAGGTCCATTCTCACGGAGCAACAACCTCACATAGAAGCAATGACTTTTTCAGCCCTACAGTTTCTTCCATCATGAAAAAACGTAACAACCCTGAGATGAGACCAAAGCCGAATTCCAACAGGATACCACGTCACAGCCCAATAAATCCATCTTCGCCTAGGTGGATGTTCTGATGACGATCTAACCGCTGACAGCCAGACACGCCTCTTTTCTCATATGCTCTCATTTTTGGCTCTTTTTCCCACATTGTAACTAATTTCCTGGTGATGAGGGACAGCATAATAACAAAGATCTGCTGTTCCATATAATTTATAAGTAATACTGCGTAATAATTTTGTATTTTTGTCTGCTATACTTCAATTATACTACAGAAAATTTAATAGGGGTAGACAACTCAGCTTTCTGTTTTTCTTTTCAGTTTTCAGTTCAGTTGATGAGTTAGAAGAATGATTACGGATTACCAATTAAAAGAAACTATGTTTGGTTTGATTTGATTTTTTTTTTAATTTTTGAAGGTTTATCGTATTATTAATATGGGTTGGTATTACTCGAATTCAGTTCAATTCAGATTAAAACAGTTTGAAAAAACATTACCAAATTAAACCCGAATAGAACATTGTTTAGTTTTGGCTCAGGATCAATTTGGTTCAGTCAACCCAAACCAAAATGCCCAAATCCCTACTAATCAATATGGAAACGTCAATATATTACTCCGTACTTATTAGCCATTGTGATTAGGAATAGAGTGAGGACATGCTAATTTCGGGAAGTATACGTTTTTTTCTTCAAAAGTCAACATGATCTTTAGATTATTATCTTTTATAAATTTTTTTTGAAATGAAAAAAACTAACAACAAAGAAGAGACAAGAAAAAATTGTTTTTCAGACTTTATTTACAATATATTATGGGGTCAATACTTTTCGCACCGAAATTTGGAAACAACTCTGTTTATTCCAAATAGACTCTTCCTCACAAGTGAACAAATGGTACACTTAAAAAAGTTAAGATCTAGTTTGTTTGTTTGTTTATTATTATAAACAGTTGTTAAACATTTGAAGTTGAAACACTATGAAAGCCGCAAGCCGCAAGGATGAAAGGGCATAACACACAAACAAATTCTCAACCTTTTGAAAACATTTGGTTGTTAAAAGAACTTGTCATTTATTTTTAGTGAAAGTCTTGTGTTACATTTATTTTCAAAAGACTTTGGGGTCAACAAATTTTATTAAGGGGAGTTCTACGGTGCACCCGTTAATTTGATTGTATCATAGGGGGGCCAATAATATTGTACCACATGGAAAATAATTAAAATATATATGAATGTACCGTACATGCGAAATTTAGAGGTGCACCGTAGAATTTCCCTTTTATTAAAGTGCAAACCATATTTTTACATAAATATGTGTTTAGTTAGATCATTTGTAAAAGTTACATCTTTCAATACATTTGTAATGTCTTATATTTAAAATAAATATATGTTTTTACTTTTATTTTTGGAAACATATTAAACTAAAAGTTACCAAATTCCTACAGGTTAATTTTAATCAAGAACACTAAGGGCCCTTCTCCAATGAATCTTTGTTGGGGACGATTGGGGTTGATGTAATATGATACGTAGTAATTCCTATAAATATATCTCATCATATTCATATTTTTATATGCTTCTAACCTTAAAATCCACTCTTATTTTCTCTATAATATCATTCTATCTACACACATTTCAAATTCATTATTCTTCATTACTTATGGAATCATATATTCCATTAAAACTCTGTTTCAATCAAAATCAATTACTATTTCATTAAAACCTCTTCAGATAAGTTTATGTACGCACAATTTACTCCTTACACTTCATAAGTTTGAAAAAAAAGATGAAAGCACCGTGAGGAAAGGGCTGCGATTATTTGGCAAAACCAAATAAAAGAAGAAATTATCATATTTGAAAGTGCAAGTAAAAGAGGAATGGGAACTTGGGAAGTAAAAACTAAAAAAAGCTAGCAAATTGAAGATGGGAGTTATAAATTATCATGGCATAGGCAACGATTAAAGAAATAAAACATGCAAATCAGAAAACGGGAATGGGAGGTTTGGTCATGAATATTACTAACTAAAAAGGTTTGGACAAAAATAGGACCTTCTTTATAACTTTCCAAAAAACATGTGATAAGGTGGTTTCATTTTAAAACTTGGAAAGGAAATGCCACATATGCCCCCTGCTAGTCAACTTTGTACTTATTCCTTTCTCCCAACCATTTCTGACGCACTGGAAGTCTACACATGCTGGCAACAACCAGTGAAATTTTTATTTTTATTTTTATAGTTTTATCATAATTGTGCCCCGCTTACATTTATCCGATTACGATTTACAAATAATTGATCCGATCAGTCATAATTACTCACCCGATTAGTTATAGTTACCCAATTCAACCAGTGATAGTTACTTAATTTGACCAGTTACCCGTTCTGACCAGTTACAATTACCCGACCCGACCAGTTACAATTACCCGACCCGACCAGACCAGTTACAATTACCTGATCCGACTAGTTATAGTTACATGTCCGACTAATTACATTTACCCGATTCAACACTATAGTTACCCGAATTGACCAGTTACAGTTATCTAACCTGACCAATTACAATTACTTGACCCAACCAGTTACAATTACCCCACCGATCAGTTACAGTTATCCAATTTGACCGGTTACAATTACCCGACACCGACCAAGTACAATTAATGACTAGCGCCTCCGGCCACCACCGACGACTACAACGTTCGGAGACCAACACCTCCGTCCACCGCCGGCGTTCACTATACTACCTCCGGCCACCGCCGGCGTTCATTACCTCTGGCCACCCCAGCGACCACCAGCTCCGTCCTCCGCCGGCAACCACCACATCCGGCCACCGCCGGAGACCACCGACACTTTGCCAGTCTCACCCTACCTTTTCCCCTAATTGCTGCAGGTCGGCCTCCTCCGTAGATTCACCCTACCTCGCACCCCCTCCCCAACCCTCGCACCACAAGATACCACCACAACAGTGGGGAGCGCCGCCGCACCAATTCGCAATCTCAAGAATCGATCCAACTGCAGTGGCTTTCTGATTCAGCATAAGAATCGAGATAGAAATAGAAGAAAGTAGTGGCGGAGCAGACCTATAGTGGCGACAATGGCGGTGGAAGTCGAATGGTGAGCCGGTGAGGTGAGTAGCGATGAAATTGAAGCAAGCCGGAGAATGAACGATGAGCGGTGATGCAGGGCTGAGCGATGACGGTGGAAGACGAAGGGTGAGGCGACGAGCTGAGCAATGATGGATTCCAGACTTCCAGAGTGATGGTCGCGTAGGAAGTCTGGTTGCTGACCTCTTCCAGATCTGGAATCTGGTCCTTGCTACAAATGTGGAAGACGGGCAGTGCTAAGGGCTTTTTAGATTTTTTACACTACACTGGTATCTTTTTTGTCATATACGAAAACCAGTCCTACTTGTGCCCAACTAAAAGTCGGGAGGTTTATTTTTGTCATTTTTTCATTATAATACCCTACACAAATATTTTCTTAATACAGAATAATCATTCACACTAACAATGAACAAGTATTATATTTGTTTTATAACGTATCAAAAATTGTATACCCTCAAATTCAATAAGGCTTTAAGCCTGATGTTGTATAAATGTAATGTTTCAATATTTATAATATTTGGAATACAGCCCAAAAATGTAGTACTTGTAATTCGAATTAAACACTGATAAATGTATTTTATCAATTGTGTTTTAATACTTATAATAAGTATCTTAATGTATATTAAGTCATTATTACTTTAGTTTTATATATGGAAATACATTTTAAGAGGAAAAAACATTAAAACCGAGCAAGTTCACCCATATATACATCATACATGTGCGTATGCAAAGTCTCAAATGACGACTCAACATGGTAATACTGTAACAGGATGTACACCCATCAAAGAACAGAGATACAAGACCTCAGTAATGTTATGTAGTGCTACCAAAGAACAAAGTTATTTGATGCATTGCAATATTAATACAGCACAGATCTTTAAATAGCTACATGAGCTTTAAAAAGGCCAAAAAACTCTTTTCATTGATTACTATTACAACAAGGATTGAGTCATTTTACCAAGGAGTATGGACTTTCTTTGTTATTCCTGCTTCCAACAAAGTGCGCCATCCCTAGTCAAATGGTGCAAGGGGTGAACGCCGGAGGTGAAAATAATCACAAGCTCAGCTTGTAGAGGGTAGGTAGACTCGTATGGTGTTCTTCATAGTAATCTTCCTCCGACAAGTAGGACACTTACCCTGAGCAGCGATAGAAGCTTTGATGCACACTTTGCAAAAGATGTGACCACATTTGGTCGACATCTCCTCAACTAGTGGGCCCATGCAAACTGGACAACTGAACACCGGCTCCTTTGGTGGAGGAGGTGCCAATACCAATGCCACTTCCTGATGCATTTTTATAATATATAAACAAATTGGATGTTGTATAAAACAATAAGCACTATGAAGGTGGGGGGTGGGGGGGGGGGTATGTGCCTATATTTGGATAACAGAGAGAGGACTACCAATACCTTTGAGTTATTGTATTCTTCAAGGTTTATGCATGTTATGGTGTTTGTAACTGGTTGGTTTGTCCGAGCCCTTCTGCGCTTGTTAGTGTTGGTAGATGTAACCCTGAGCGGACACTCATCTGCACAGTTATCGACTGCTCAGAAAAAACTAATATGACCCTTGTTTAGTTGGGGAATTGACATGGGAGTTATGATTATTTACTTTTTCTTGCATTTACATGCTTGTGAAGAAAGTAAATATAAAAAATCATAGAGGAATGCCTATTTTAACTAAAAACAAGGATACAGTTGAAACAAAATATTTGGGAGTAAGGATTTAGAGAGCGAGGGAGTTATTTTTTCCTTTTCAACTATATAGTTATCTCATCATCATTACCTCAGTGCCGCAAAGGTTCCCACCTACGTTGGGGTAAGGGGGTCAGATGCACACAGTCTTACCCCTGTACTAAAGCACATAAAGACTTTCTGGATGACCTCTAGCGAAAATTGCGTCGAAAATTGTATGGACTAACTGCTGCTTCATAACAAAGAAGCGCAGACAGTTCAGTGAACCATTTTGCTTTATTCCACATCATATTTCCAAGCCAAAAATAGTGAGTCCTTGGCTCCATTGCAAATGATGGATATTCAACTATATAGTTATCTAACGCGATAATTTTACAAAATAGAAGATACAAAAGTGCAAACTTGTATCGTTTCAAGGTACTAGTCATTTAATTTATTGCCACAAATGACATAATTATTTTAATTTAAGAGTAGAAATAACCCCCCCCCCCCTCTTCCATTCCCCTCCAATATCTAACTCACAGACATATGGTAAATGGAATCTGATAGAAAAAAGGGTGACATCATTTAGCAAGGGGAGATTTTCCTTTATCAGGTTGAAGCCACAAGTTCCCAAGCAGCACTTGTAACTTGAGTGAGGCTTACGCCTCTGACGCTTAAGGTCTGATTTCCAGGAGGCTCAAGGCTTGATGTCGGTGAGGCATATAGGCTATCAAGGCTTAAGCCTTAATTTTATAGAGGAATCCTAGAATCTGGCCCTCTTGAAAGCTTGTTGGGCTTTGCAGCTTTGCTAACCCTAGCTTGACTAGTTGACTCCTCTACTGATCATTCACTTGTCTTTTCTCTCTCAATCACACTGTCCTAGTCTTCTTTCTTCCCCAATCATTACCTTCCATAAAACCATATTTACCGGTCCATTCACAGAGTTCAGCATTCACGAGCAGCAGAGCGCCCCCGCGGGTTACCACCAGCCACCACAAAACACACTTTGATCCCTCATTTGTTCCGCTTATTGATATATATTACATGTCTTTTAGTTTTTGCGAATGTTGTCTCTTAAATGTGCAGCAGGTTGTAATTATCAATCTGCGCTGTTTAAAAACTCCAGCACTTCACTATTAACGGTAGAGACTATTATTTACAGCATATTGAAAAATTGAGGAACGATACTTGCAACACGTTACATAATTATGGGTCGGAATTTAAAAAAAATAAAGCAGCTTGCAACATTATTAATAGAAGTGTTGTCAAGGACTAAATTTACAATTTCTTACGCAACAAAGGGATGGATTTTACAAAAATTAAAAGACAAGGACTATTTAAATATGTATGCTAAAAGAGGGACTAAAAATGTTTTCACTTGGATTGAAAAACTTCCTGGTCTAGTATACGTGTACTTTACATTTTTATCATTCCAAATGAACACATCCTAAGACTGTAATTCTCCTTCCAATGAACAATCTTATTAGATTTGAGGATTAGTAGGTTGAAAATTAGAACCACTCTAAAACACGTTCTTAGTTTTCATGGAGGAATAAAATGCATATTGACTTCCTCTTTTGTCCTTCTAGTATACGTGTACTTTACATTTTTACCATTCCAAATGAACACATCCTAAGACTGTAATTCTCCTTCCAATGAACAATCTTATTAGATTTGAGGATTAGTAGGTTGAAAATTAGAACCACTCTAAAACACGTTCTTAGTTTTCATGGAGGAATAAAATGCATATTGACTTCCTCTTTTGTCCTTCTTGGAACATTCTTTGTGTTTTTAAAAAAAATACAAATTTATAAATCATTGAACTATTACCATGAACTACCTTTTATTTTTCATATTTTATCTATAATAAAATGAGGTTTACGCTTTCACCACGAGGATTACACCTTATGAGAAGGAAGACCAAAAGCTTGGGGACCAATTATGTCTTTGAAATCCTTGGTGGCAAGGATTAATTTTTGTTTTACAAATTTATATCTATTTGTTAACCCTAAACTACAAAATAACTATATAATATTTAGTTACATCATTTACTTATATGCCAGTGTATTTTTTCATCCTCACTTCTCCCCTACCCTCCAATATCCCTCCACCAAAGAAGTGCTGTAAAGAACTACCCTCAGCATAGTTCACCAACTGCTACCATGCATAGAAGAGGAATTTTATCAAGCCCAAAGAAGAAAGGTACTCACCTGAATCTACATCAACCACAGCAGCCTGTCCACGGTTCCTTCTAAGGTTGTTCTTGGCCTAAGAGAATTTTAAAAATATCTAAAACAATCAGTCAAGGCATAAAAGTCACATATAATAATACTAAATGACAGTAGACTAAATATACCACAGACTTGTATATACGCAATATAAAAGACATACTTGAGCAAAGGCACGGCGAGATAATATAGTGACATCATCATCATCAAGTCCATCAATGTCAATTGGTTCAGTACTCGAGGTGACTCTTTGAGCATGTCGCATATCCTGAGAAACGGAGCGAGTAGAGGTTCCCTCCTGATTAAGGTTCTCCCATGGAGGCATGACATTGAGATCAACATTGAGTGAACTCTTCATCCTCTGTAAAGCTCTTGCGCACCTGGATGGATGACCTATTTGTTCCTGACTGCTCATACTGCGATCTTATGATCAACAACTTTTCAGCTGGCAGAAAGTTGTGCAAAAGCCTATATGAAGCCAAGTAATTGCTATAATTAAATCATGATCAAGACATGAATCTGCTTTGACTAATTGACTACCTCCAACACATGGGTAAATATACAGAAATATTCACTGCCCCACAAGGAAATTAGGAGCCAGACTTTTTGTGTGTTTGTTTATTGTATATTTTTCTTCATAAACCAATGGTTCCCATTCAGTTGATACTGTTTAAAAGGTAAAATGGTTATCCAATGATGCACATCTAAGTTTAGCAGTTAAGATGACATATTAATCCTTTAACTAAAAAATATCAAACTCTACTAATAATACACCCTATTCTTTCATTTGCACACACAAAAAAAACAGTTTTAAAATTAAATCCAACTGTTTTTACATAGAAAGTGCATATTAGTTAGTTGTGGAAATTAAGACAAAGAAAGATCAATAAATGAAAATTAGGGATTGATAAGTTTGTTGGAACAACAATTAAAAAAGGTACAAATATATTGACTGCTACATGAGTGGAGCGAAAACAATGTTGCTTGGAAACTCTTAGGATGTGGCATTTCTCGCATTTCATGTTTCTAGTGTTGCATTTCCGTGCTACTTAGAGCAACAAAACTTATTGAAATAGTAAATACGCAACCTTCTTGATTGTGGAGTCAAAGTTTGGGTTTCTACACTCTAGTGAGCTGTTCACCGTCGTAGAGGGTTAAAGAGAATGTCTCAATCCAAAATCTGCTCCCTTAGCTAAAGGCTTGAGCAAATTAAAACTTTACATGAAAAGAATGAAAGGTCATCTCAAGGGAAAAACTAATAATCAAAACTTAGTTACCCATCATGGGAAAATTTATCCTCCAGCAAAGGTACTTGACATCCTAACACCCAAACAAAAACAAAAGCAAAACTGAAATAAAAAAAAACAAATTTTAGACTCTCTTTCTTAATTTAAACTGCAAGTTTGAAGTTGAAAGCCTTCATGTATGCTACAAGTCATTGAACATTTAACAAAAGAACCCTGTATATTTTCAGAATCTTACTTCCTTAAGAGCATGATGGCGGGTTACAAAATCAAAACATTAAAAAAAATGTCGGCAAAGAAACTGATAAACCAAACAAGTTAGTAACTTTACCCGAAAGAATGCCCAAATTCACAGGTCTGAAATCTAAATGACCGATCATTGTGGCATGATCAGAATAAACGAGATCAAATGATCAATCGCCGAAAAATTAAAAATTAAAAGAAAAGATGATTAATCAAACCTAAATTAAGGAAGCGCTCCTATATCGCATCTGTCTGATAAAAACTGTTGGTACCGAGGAGATGGATGAAAAGAGGAATCGTGCCTTATAGTCCTCCTTTGTAACGTCTAGGGTTCTTCTAATTAGGGAAGATTTTAGAAAGAGGGGTGAGTCAGAGAGATGCGTGAAAATTTTGAGTTTTTTATATTTTGGGGTGCCAACTTGCTCTGCCCGCGCGCTTTTCATGCCAAATTCAAGCTCGACTAATGATATAAAGTCCTGAATATGTTTCCCTTTTGTGGAATACCAATTACCAAGTACATTTCATGTCATGTTATAGAAGATTCAAGCAATTTAAATGGTATGATTAATATTCAGGAATGACTAATGACATAGATTTTGAGTTTTGACAATGCAAGTTCTGTATTTCTGACCAGATTAAAGAATTATGAACAAGAATTCAATCTTTGTTAGTGGACTCCTAAGAGAGGATTTACATGATGTCAAAGGCTAATGTGGTAATTGTATCGGCACCCGGTTTAGCCTTGGCGATGGTCGAGCTCCGCCTCATGGTAGTCAGGCTCCACTATTCGAGGTATTCCCGCTTTATGAAAAATAATGGATTGAAAACGAGAAGAATTCAATAAAAACTCACAGGCACGATGAGAAGTGCACGAGATGAACTACTCAGGTGAGTCGATGTGTAAATTTTGCGGGTGGTATTTCAGAAAGCTTTGCAAAGCACCTTGACATCGAAGAAAATATAGACAAAGCATCTAATAAAAAGGACTAGTTTTCTACACGCGCGTTGCGCGATTGAATAAAATGCCCAATGTTTTTTTGAAAATATGTACATCATACGCTGATTCGACATGATTACTTTTATGATTACTCGACCCTATTTTGAACAATTAAACTATATTTCTCACACAAACTTTAATCTTTAACTCTATATTAGAACATACTATCTTGCACTATTCACATACTCTGCTTTGTCTACATTTTACTTACTAATGTATTATAATTAATTTTTTAATAAATATTGTTAGAGTCCTCTTAATTTAAAATTTAAAAATATGAATTTTTAATTTTTTTTAGTAATAAGAAATGACATATATTAATGATCCAACTTGTGCGTTGGCAAACGTGAAAAATGGACTGTTGCAACTTAAAGAAAAAGGAGGAAGTATTACATATAGGAGCCCTGACTTAGGCTCCTCAAAAAAATAAAGGGAAGTTGTGCCTTCAGATTCCCGCTCAAGGGCGTTTTCAACCGCATAAGGAAAAGGTGTGAAATAAGTTTCATTTATTCATTTTAAATCTGGATTGCAACTTTTTTTAAATGAGAATGGGTATCTTTGGAATAAAATTCATCACCACTAAGGAATTTAAGACAACCTAAGAGCTAAGTGGGTTGGACATTAAGGGGCATCAAATTACTTTCGGAAATGTAACATTCTCTCAAAAATATCAAACCGACAAACCAAACACGAATACTTCACATTCCGACTTGCATAGATGATTAACTCGAACTAAATAGCCCTTAATATAACAAGCATGTCGCCGAACCCATTGATGTCCCATAAAGATGCATACTGCTGCTTAGTTTAATTAAGGGACACTGAAATTAAGCTAACAAACCAAAACAAATGCATGCATCTCCGTTATTCTCAGGCATAGCTACAGCTGCCACTTCACTTCTCGGGGGAGCCGGTTCGCGAAACACAGTCGTCATATATTTGGAGCCACAACCGCAAGTTGTTGCCACTCCCACACCTTCGGATGGAGACTGTTGTAGGCATCAGTGCAGAGAATGTTTAGCATTACATGATCTGGTGGCGGGTCAGGTGTCTCTTCACCAGTGGTCGTTTTGTGGATGGCAATGGATTTCAACAGATGGGGAGGAATCTATGGAGGGGGGGCGGGGACAGTGTGTCTTCTTCTATGTCATAGACATTGTCATAACTGGAATCAGGCGATGGTGGTGCTTTAAGTCCAGGGACAATTGGTTTTTGCTCCTGCTGCTCCTTGAATGGCGATAAGAGATGAACCAAGCAATGCCACCCTCAAGTATAAATAGGACGAAACCCTGAGCTAAAGTGAAGAAAACATGGATTCAGAAATTCAACACGATATTCATAAAAAAATGGCGTTTTCTCAACCTGACACTGTCCCCACTACCTGATTCTGAAGAGTCCAAAACTACACCGAGTTGTAATGAGTTTTTAACTAAGTTTTGTGAAGCCATACCAAAACCACATTATGTTTTCCAAAACCACACTAAGTTTTGGAAAACTCATTTTGGAACTCTCATTATAATTATGTAATCCATGCCAAAACCACACCAAGTTTTCCTATAACTAATCCTTAATTTCTAATTCTATCTATTATAACAACTACATTTGTCACTTTTTCATACAATGAATTACTTAATCCATGTCAAATAGTCTGTTTTTTTAAAGAAATCTCCTACCTATTGCTTTCTTTGACATGGCTTTGTGATCAAGTAGAAAAATTTCAAGTTGCATTTTTTTTATCTTCAGTCAGCTACACTATGTTTTTTAAATGGAAAAAAGGCTTCATACTCAGAAAACCAAAAAAGAGTAAAAGCAGTTTTTAGAAGCTACTAAACTATAAGTCCAGAAAAACATTAATGAGAATACTCTGGGTGTTAAAAAAACAGAACCAAGTGATTAATTATTATCGCATTTGTCGCAAAAAAAAATCTTAAAATCTTATAATTGTCAATGACAGTCAGGGCATTCTAGCCTTTAATATGATGAGAGTACTGTTATTAACCTTTACTGATAGAGTGATAGTGATACACCTTTTTATTCATATCATTACAAACTTATTTGAATGCTTCTCAGTTCATTGACATTTGATAACAACCCATTCCAGTCCAAAATGCTTTCAAACTACATTCCTCTAGTCTAGTAATCAAAATACTGCATAAATGAATTGATAACTACCACTTGCAAACATGAAGACACTCAGAAAATTAAAAAATGAAGCGGGGGTGGCATTAGGTCATTGCCTCAACTCGAATCAGCATATGGTTTAAAGTTACGGTTGATATTTCAGAACACTGAGACATTGTGGTCTGAATTTATGAATGACAAAAATGGTATATGATCTGAAAAACATTGTTAAATGTATTCCGGAAAACAAAACAGTGAAAATGTAACGTGCCGATGTAAAAAATTGCCTTCAGATTGAATGTGGTTTAATTTAGTTTTTCAAGTTAATCAGCCAGTCTAAACTATAATCCTATGAAGCAGAAAATAACAATCACTTGGCACTTTTAAGAACCCTGTTTAAAAATTAAAACCAGAACTGAGTTTGTCTTAAATGATGCAGCTAAATAGATAAATGAAGGAGCTATATAAAATCAAAACCATTGAAATGTCAGGCTTAAAAAGGGGGAAAACTGAGTTTGTGAAATAGATAGATATATGAAGAAAATGTAATCCTCCCGATACTTACGGAAACTAATGAGGTTCCTAAGGGCTATTAGACCTAATCCATAGTCAGGAAAAGGAGACTTGGATAAACATTTCAAAAGAAGCTACATGCAATGAGGTTATCCTCCCGATACTTTGGGCCGATACTTCGGGAAAGTAATTGAGTTTGTAGGTGGGATTATACTGGAGAAGCCTGATTCATGAAAGAGTTTTTTACGTGAATATATCAATGCAGTTTGGGTTTACAAAAAAGTGAGTAAGTGACCATAACTGTCAATCACGTAAAGCAATCTAGGAGTAATTGTAGGAAAATCACCTTGTTCTTTCAATTAGTAGTAATATTTTTGTTAGAGAGATTTAAAGTTGTAATATTTGTGTAATTTTTTCTTCATGAAATCCTGTGTTGCTAAATTGTTTGTATGGTCATGGGGTTATTCAGTCAGTTTTGAATCTTTTGATGACATTTGAAGCTACAAATCATTGCAAAGAAAATTTCATGAACATTTTGGCAAATCTATAAACATCTTGGCAAAGCTATTTTCTAACCTGACAGTAACATCCGTGAGTTGGTCCTTAACATTGCAAGCTTTAACTTTTTCTCTAATTTGATGAGAGTATTGTTAATAACGTTCATTGTTAACCCTCATTTAAGATTTTAAGATAAGATTTAAGAAACATGGGGAGACACACCTCCTCCACATGTTAACACCTTAAAGGAAGTAAATACGGTATATTCAACTCGAAACTATTTGATTATCAACTCATTCGTTCGTAAGTGGAACTCAACGCCCCAAATTATCAAACGGATTCGACCTGATATGGGTTATAAGTTGAAGTTTCATACCTCGAAATATCTAGGTGGGGCAGTGCTCTGAAATTACCTTGGTCGTGTGGTTCTTGCTATTAGCTATACGGCTGTCCGGCGGCGAACAGATCCCAACTTGTGGCAAAACGAATTACAACCTAGGGAATTTCTTACGATAAGGGTCAGGAGTGGAGAGACGAATGCAGAGGAGGTTGTTTGAAGGTTGTCTCAAGCGAGATAACACAGGCAGAATGTATAGGAGAACGTTAACATATACAGAAGACGTTGAGGTTGAAAGGAGCCATTACAACAGACGGAAAGAAAACGGAGAAATAAGATGCTGGCAAAGAGGGCACGTTGTACAAGCTCACTAAGCTAGACGATTACACGGACATTTTTTCCATCCCTAAAATGCCCTAACTCTCATTGACAATTACTATAAGATTTTATGATATTTTTGGAGTTGTGATTGAAAAATACTCCCTCCGTCCCCCTAAGTTTGTCTCATTTTACCTTTTTCGTCCGTCCCACTAAGTTTGTCCCATACCATATTTGATAATATTTGAGTGGTTAAAATTCATTCTTGCTTTATTCACACTTTATTAATTCAATACCAACCACACAATTCTACTTTTTCTTAAAAATCACACCACATCCCTTTGTCCCAAACTTAGGGGACGGAGTAGGCCTGGGACTTAGAACCGTAAAACCGGAAAACCGATCCGAACCGAACCAAATTTTCTGGTCCGGTTCGGTTCCTATAATCTTGGTCTTCAGCTTTTTTCGGTTCGGTTCCTATAGTATAGGATCGGTTCGGTTCCGGTTCCTAGACAGGAACCGAACTTCTTATACATTGCATGCGTAATCTTCATTTGAGGTGCTTCTGGGTTGAATTTATTTATGAAATTTTGTGAGCTTATTTCTCATGAAGTATAGATTATGTCCACCAAATGTGAGCTTAAAATACAATCGGGAAGTCAGTTAAATAAATTATTGAAAAATACTACGTCAAATA